TTAATCTCCGTCTGTTGATGGATATGTGCAGCAGATTGCAAGTGACTGTCTAAATATAAGATGTATATATAATTGACTATAAAAATTAAAACAATGAACTAAAGTTCAGGAAACGAGTGTGGCATATAAAGTCCAAAGTAAATAACTGTAATCCCGGACCAAAAAAGTTCTACTAATTTATAAAGACGTTATAGAACTATTGTGATTATTACGAGCGCACGACACTCTTCAGAATACAAAAGATTTTAAAACAAATGTTTCTATTCAGAACATCCGAGTGAATTTGAAGTAACCAAAATTCATCTGCACCATACTTTCATTAACTCTAATTAATGTAACTACGAATTCGAGTAACGCGAGAAATTTAAAGACAAGGCAAATATAATTTCACAAGGTTATGAGGAATAGGCACAATTTTTTCATCCTTTGTATCTGCCATACGTATAGCACATACGTTTGTAACATGCGTTCTAAAAGCAAACTGCTTTTTATTTCATATAATATTATAATTTACTTTTTCTATTATTTTAAGGAAAATCAACGACTGTGCTTCTAAAACGTATACTATCCAGCACGACCGCTTCTGTTTGGTAGACTCGTAAGTTCTTGTACCCACGCATTCTAAACAGTTACATTTCAGTGAGCTACAGTGAGAGGATACGGAGTATTTTACCAGTAATAGTATGTCTACCCTTGCAAGTGAATAGACCCTGATTTCTTTTACGAACGTCAGGTGATTTTGTGTTACGAAGGCTTTTGTAACGGTATAAAATCCCAGTATAGACAGTGGATATGAGAGAGCTACTTTACATTTTTACCGGTGCGAGCTTTAGTGGTTCGTATACAGTCAGCCAATATTCGCGAAAGATTACTCACAAGGCATTCGGTGCAGCAACGGCTTCCAAGCGATTTACTTGGTTATGCTGAGAAGCGAGATATATTCTTTTTAGTACTCGGCACAAGCTGGAGAAAATGACGTGAGAACGCTAGAGCAGAAGACCGCGAGAATTTCACGGAGAATGGCATTCGCTTGGAAATGCTTCAGAGCAGACGCATGAAAGAACGTTTGCATGAAAGAGAAAGTTCATGACGGCGAAATTTCAAAACCGAAAATGAAAAATTTCTCTCCGCACAGTATAACATTTTGAACCGCAGTTGAATACAAAAAGGGTAAAATCAAGATTCACTATTAAATATTTTAAAGTACGAATACAGCTTTAATGGAACATGGCATTGTATTGCATTTTATCAACACATTTTTATTCCAAAAGCATTATCAGTTATTTGTATAAGTAATGTTTTTTTTTATTTTATAGGACTCGTTTCATATGATATCTATTATATGAGTTTTATACTCAATGAATTCTCAAACATGATGTATAATAACACTAGGTGTTTACAAGTGACTGTTTTACAGATCTTTTTCTGGAAATGTTGGCGCATGAACCATCGCAACTCAGCTCTACTGCGCTTTATCACTGGGAAAGTTACCAACTGGACCTGACAAGCAATGGAAACAGTACAAAGGACATGAACATGAATAAACTTTTCAATGGGCAGGTGGACACGAAAACAAGGCAAAAGTACAGGCAGCGGCGGAAGAGAAAAGAGACGACGCAGACGTCAACATGCAAGGGACAAGCGAGGGCTCGCCTGGAGCCAATGCATGCCAACGTGGTACAGGATGTCAGATACGCGCTCTATGATAAGGTGTTGCCACGATTCCACAAAAGAGAATTTGTGTATTCCAGCGAACATCAAGACGTTAAAGTGACACGGGAGAAGAAATAGCGACGGGGAAGACAAACAGAAGGAGGAGACGAAGAGAATTAAGAGGTGGAGAACTTATGGAAATGGAAAGGAACAGGAAGGTGTTTCGCTATTGAATGTTTAGATAGAGGGATCAAGAGACTATGAGAAGGAATGTGAGTGTGGGGAACGGGAGACACATGAGATGGTAACTGGTAAACACACGACGTAAGTGGTTTTGTTTCGATTACTTCTAAAATTAAGTGGTTCTGTTTCCAGTTTAAGCGAATAAAGACTAATTAGGCAAAAAATATTCTTGAAGTGTCTCTAGACGGGAGAGTAATTTACAGTCAACATACAATGGTTGCATGGAAACTTCAGTTTTAATTGAATTTGTAAAAATGAAAAGAAAATTCATTGATGACTTTATGAATTAATATGAAAATTCATTTACTAAGAGCTTTTACTAGTAACGTAGGGTAAAATATTCTTATTTTGTAAGAATTATTTTTAAAAAAATTGAACATTGTATAGCAAAATTCAATTGAAGAACAACAACCCAATGTACAATTGAACAAGTGATAGCCGACCGAAATGAAAATGTGGAAATCTAATTAAACAATATGAAATGAGCACATCAAGCGACAGAAACAGAGAAAACCTACATATTTTGTTGGGAGGAACAAAGAAGACAAAATCTTAGGAATTGTGGCGCATTCCTTCTTCTGTATACGGATGAGAGCAAGTGAAATGAGAACCACGAAGGACAAGAATCGAATGGTGCAACAAAGAACGAGAAAGAGATGAAAGGCGAGGAAACGGACGTCTTATCTGATCTGCATGAGCGAAGTGACGCACAGTGGGGGAGTATGAGCGAAGTGCCGCCTGGTAACAAGAGGAAGAGTTGGGAATACGAAATTAAAGAAATGTGCGTACGTTTCCTTTCCTGCATCCCAGCGCCAGTCGCGAAGAGGGGCGCAAGTGAGGCAGCGGCGCGGGGCAAAAGGACTGGAAGGGGATGAAGCGGGGCAATGGATGCACGAGAAGGAGATGGCAGTGGCGGGGTCCTAGATGGAGATGGAGTAGTGGGCAAAGTCGTCGAGGCTATGGGCGAGGGTGGAAGCGAAGGCGAAGGTGGATGCGAAAGCGAAGGAAGAAAGCAAAAGTGGAGGCGTATGCAAAGGTAAAGATCAAAGTAGAAGACGAAGGCAAAAGGCAATGGCAAAAGAGGAAGGCAAAAGGCGAAGGCAGAAGGCGAAGGGAAAGTCAAAAACAACGGCCAAAGGAGACATAAGGAGAAGGCAAAAGTAGATGTCAAAGGCAAAAGTCGAAAGGAAAGTCAAAGGCAAAGGTTAAAGTAGAAGACAAAAGGCGAAGACCAAAGTAGATGGCTGAGTCTGAAGGCCAAGGAGAGGGCAAAAATCGGCGTAGTAGCGAGTGCGGAGACGGTAGTGGCAACGAAGTTGAAGAAGGAGATCAAAACGGGGGAGACGGTGACATTGGCGCACACAGGGAAGCAGAGCATTGCCGGAGAAAGTGGCGGAAGCAGTGGCAAAGGCAGAGGAACAGACGGCGGTAGACGAAGGCGGAGAGAAGCAGAACAGAAGGGAGGTGGCAGTGGCGGCGATGGAAGCAGGGAGGCGGCGAGACGTGATGGCGGGCGGGGCAGGGCAGTGGTGCAGGGCGGGCGGCGGGAGGGCCAAAGCGACACCTTTGTGGGCTCCGACGCGACTCTGCGCGGCGAATTCCACCCAATCAGGAGCTTCAGCCGGGGGGCCGCGACGCAGCAAGGCGAAGGCGGGGAGGGGGGCGAAAGTCGCTCAGTAGACGGGTTCCGGCTCGTCAGGACACACGGTTATTACCGAATCTCGGGGCCAATTGGGGGGAAAGAACCGCACGGAATAATGGAGATTTTCCAGATGAAGGAAGCCAAAAAGGAACGTAAGGAGCCGCATTTTGGAGTCTTTTGTAATGTAACAGGTGAAACTGAAGAATGAGGATAATTCTGATTCCTTTTGCTTTCTTTATCAACGTTTTTTATTACCATTCGAGTTTTCAGTTCGTTAGCTGCCGCTTTGCGCGATGGCGGCGGGCGCGGTCGGCCAGATGAGGACGGGGCGGGGGAGGGGGAGGGGGAGATAGGGGAGGGGATACGGTGGTGGACGCTCGGGCGACGCGTCTGCTCCCCGAGCACCGCCCCCGTCGCCGCCTTCCAGCCCTCCGCGCCTGCCGTCCGCACTCGGGCCCCTGCCGACTGCATTATTAGATGCGATCAGCCACAGCGGTCGCCGAGGTGAGCCAGTGCGGTGGAGGAGAGGGGGTGGGGCGGAGAGAGGAATGAGATGGGCAAGCGCCCACCCACCCGAGGACGTCGAGGGCGAGGACGCTCCCAAGAGCGCGATCGAGGAACGGGCTGATGCAGATGAACTGGGAGAAGAGGCGGGGAAGAACACGGGAAAAAAAAAAAAGAAAATTTGATGTGATGGGAATTGAAATTGCTTCCGTTTTGCGTGTCGAGATGTAGGACTTCGAGAATGTCCTGTTTGACCACTTCCTCCTGTAGAAGGCGCAATAATGTGGACAGCACTCTTTCAGTCGGGTCTTGAATACAATAAAAATACAATAGAATTGTCAGCACGATCCCATTTCAAGATATTTGTTAGCCCAAAATGTATTATACAGTTAATATAGCACGTGCAATACTTCATATTTGCTAACAGTGCCATTTTTTGGATCCAGATAAATCAGACTTGTTTAAAATTGATTTCTTGGACTTAACATTTACGAATGATTAACCAAGTGGTGTATTGATTCCACAAGGCACGAAACCCGTACATGCAAAAACTAGAGTAAGAAGAAGATGGGAAGAGTTTAAAAGATAAAAATAATCAATTAATGAATTTCTTACGGATTCGGTACATTTATATTTATCGGCTGTTTGTCATATGCCAAAGAATCGTGATTTAGTTTATCTTCACACAAAAAATCGATACGAAGAGGTAAGGTAATATAAGTCGAATACCCGTTAATGCCATCAATAAAAAAATAACAATTTCCAAGTTAATCAATTCCTTCTCCGATATCTGGAAAACTGACGTCAGTTAAGCTGTTTTTAAATATGGCAGAAAGAACAGTTATAAAGTCAAGTTTTGAGGAGGCCATGGGAAACCACAGAAAAACAGTGAAGAACAGGAGGGGAAAAATGGGGAAAAAATCATACAAGAAAGATATCCGTGCGTCCAGAAACTCACCTGTAGATCGGGGATGAGACACCCTCCTTGAACCATATGACGAGCGTCACCTTGTCTTCGAACGTTGCATCCGAGACATGCATATCGCAGGCCAGCTTTGCCACGCCGCCAGCGACGGCTTCAGTTTCAGCCATTTGCACTGAAACAGAAGTCACTTATTTAGGACCGAGCACATAAATTATCAAGTTGGTATCCCCAATGCATATCATGTATTGTGATGAGCCCTGTACCCCTTCCATTGGAATATACAAAATTGCTAAATCCATTGCAGTAGAATAAAGTTTATTAATTATTTTTTATAAGAACCAACTGTGAAAATAGTTGTGTGTATATGTAGTAGAGATTAACTTGAATTTCCATCAATATAAAATAAGTGACGTTTATGTATGGGAGAGTAACAGAAATACTATGGTAAAAAAGTAAGAAAAACTGATCCTGGACTCTTTCGACGGAATAGAAGTGCTAAGACACAGTTCGAAAACTAGAAATTCTCTGCTAGCTGGCACGGTGATTGCGTTGGATCTATTAATTTTTTTAATAGCATCGCACCATCTCGATTAATCTCATCCATTAATTCCTCTCACTCTTGTTTGTATATAACATGGTAATCCACATAACATGAACTTTCACATTGGTCGACATTTAGGATGCATTCTCTTATTTCCTCCTGACACTTCACTGTCATTAACACAAAACTGATGTCAAGTTTTCAAATTTTGATTTAACACGGAATAACTCTTGATATATAACTAAGCTTACTGATCATCAGAAATAATTAACAATTTTATGAATACTACGATTGTAAATATCGAGAAAAGCCCTTTTTTGACTTTTCCGTGCGCTTTATCGCGAAGTATCATGCCACAATGTTCTGCCTCATATCGCATGACATCTGACGCGAACATTTCAAATTTATAGCGTAAAACATTTCAGAATGTGGTTAGAAGTAGATTGTATCAGTAGGGCACATTTCCATAAACTGGCTTCCACAAAATTTGTCACGTTTGTGGCCCATTTTTCTTGGTATATCAGAACCAAAATTGCGTAGGAAACGCCTATTAAAGATCGATGATTAGAGCAATATATTTATATCAAATTTCAGTTTTGATGTTGTCTGTAAAATAGGTTCAGGTGAAAAGTGAAAAAAAAATTTCAGTTATAGCAGATATTAGCATTACTTTCACTGCGGACAAATTTTGAGATAATGAAGCTCACTTTTCATTCTTTCCAAAAGGCCTGAAAGGTTGCAGTGTGATAATATATTCCCATAAAAATACATATATCTATATCTAAAATCAAGACATGAAATTTAAAATGGCTACCACAAACCATTATTCAGTTAGAAGTAAACACTTATACAATATGTATTTCAGAAGATTGCATTAGTTTCAAAGCTACGACAACCAATCAGAAAAATTCTTGAAACTTGAATTCTTGAAACTGAATGTGAAACTCCCACTTTGTGGGTCCCAATTGGAAGCGATTAGAAGGTCTCCTAACGATTGTCACTTTATAGTGCAATACTTAAAACATCGCACGCTAAATCAGTCATTCATAGTCCCACCACTTCTTCGCTACACCGCGCTGCAGTTACATCTCTTCTTCTCTCTTTCTTCTCTCCATTCCATCTTCCCTCGCTAGTAGCTCGTGACGGCCGCTCGCTCCGTCGCCCCGTCGCTCCGTCGCCCCGTCGCTCCGTCGCCCCGTCGCTCCGTCGCCCCGTCGCTCCGTCGCCCCGTCGCTCCGTCGCCCCGTCACTCCGTCGCCCCGTCACTCCGTCGCCCCGTCACTCCGTCGCCCCGTCACTCCGTCGCCCCTTCACTCCGTTGCCCCGTCACTCCGTCATACTAATCCTTGTCACTCCGTCGCCCTGTCGACCCACTGTCCTGCCGTCGTCTATGCTGCTGATGCTGCTACTACTTGGAGCAAGCTGTTGCGCCCTTTTTGTCAGTTTTCATACGACTATCCTCTCACGTTTTCGTTGCGTCATATTGAACCTTCCGAGTGCTATGCCATCACATTGGATGTTGTGAGTGTTTCAATATATGCCTCTATCCAAGAGCATGGGTGATGATAATATGGTGCATTTAGTGCTCACCAGGAAGCGAGTATAGGAAGACCTTATTAACGTAATTCTGATTTATTACACCAACCGAATGTCTTCTATTAGTACGCCTATTATTTTTAGAATTTATAGCTATATGGAATATGCTGTAGTTTTGACATACATATACGTCAATTACATTTTCCTATTGTCAACACAAGCGATCCAGCTCGTCGCAGTCTTCCACGACCCAAAATTTGTTTTACATTTAACTGAGCTTCAATATATCCGAAATTATGGGTTTTTCGTTAGAACTACATTAAATTTCAGTCCACGGAAAATCTGCACATCATACCATTCCGTAAAAGATCATCTCATTCAAAATCTTACAAATATAAGGCAACAAAATATTTTAGTGTACCAGCATTTTAAACGACCTTTTCTGCTGGAAGAAATTGTTCAGAAAAGGGAATTTTACGACACAAGTGATAACGTATTAGCATTTTACGGCACGAATGATTGTGTAATCACACATTCAGCCAATCGTAGCCAGAGAATCGTCGGGAGGTATCGGAAAACGTAACAGCCGACTGCCGTTTTCTCGCACATACATCAAGAACCCGAGACGTCACAAGAAAAATGTTTCGCAAAATTAAGTTTCATTCTCTAATAAATTTTGTAATGTTATTATATAAAAAAAGCGTATATAACGCTTTAGTAATGAGCTACAGGTGTTTTGAGATATCTATTGTTTTAGTAAAGCAACTGGCGGAGGTATATCTTGCTGCGATGCGTTGCACATTGTTCTACGTTTCACGAGAAATACATTTTAATTTTATTGATACGCACAAGGACAACCGGCCGTGTTTTGAATTCTATGATTTCGAGTCACAAATTCATTGTCTTGTGTTGACACTGCCTTGAGCGGTGCCCCTACGAGAACCGACAAGCAGTGGTGCTCGGCGGGTGGTCTAGCATATGCGCGGTTGAACACACAATGTGCCGTAATTAATTAAAAAAAAGTAACTGCTTCTAGAAAAGAACTTATTTATTTATATATATATATTTAACTTATTATATATTTATTTATATATTTATTAGTTTAAGGTCGCTTCAACGTTCTCAGGTATATGCAATTCCCATCCAGCCTATCATAAAACTATTTAATTATTCTTGCACTACTCGTGGTATGGATCCCCCTTTTGCGCTGGTGGCCGCACTGAGGTACTGAGAGGGGTCACGCCCTTCGAGTACATCCCTCCACTCTCCGCGGTAACGAACTTGGTCACTCGGGCCGGCTACATAGAGAAATATAATTCAAGTATTCCAAAAATAAGGCAAAAATTATTAACAACAGTTCTTATAATATTAGTATTATTATTCATCTTATTAAGAAAATAAAATCAAAACGTTACATATTAGAAATAAAGGACTATTCGATTGGAATTTCTGAAATAATATTCATGTGAACTTCGAGTTAAATAAAAAACCTCATGTTTGGGTAAACACTTTTTAACAGAATATTTTTTTAAAAAAATGTGAGTTAAGTAGTCAAACATAAAAAGCTGGCATCGAGGGACATTTCATCATATTATCATATTTAGTTATATCATATCAACAGACGTTAACCTCCAATAAATAAGGCTAACCGTTCAGCATGCTAGCAGTTCCGTCCGGCTCTGCCGGCCGCCTCCACGTACACTGGCCCACCGAACGCCCCCAGTCGCCGTCCAACGACTCTTCGGCATCCCGGCTGGCAAGCCAGCCCCGCGGAACCGATTCTCCTCCCACTTCACCCCCTCCGTCGCCCTCATCACCTTTGCGGTCGCTGTCGCCGGGTGGCCCTTCTCTTCCGCCCCTAACACGCCACCCAAGTCGTTCCGTCAGCCTTCAATCTCCTCCAATCGGCGTGCAATCTCTTCTTCGATACGCTTGCCTCCACGTGCCGTGCACTCAATTTCTTTTTCGTTCTCCTCAGCCGAAGATATCACAATATATTAATCAAACTCCGTGTATTCGAGTCAACAAGCTTATGCAGGTTAAAGGGTACCGTCGATCTCTCAATATTCTCGCATCTAACGTTCAAATATTCAAGACGGCGAGACGGAGCGACGGATTCATCTCTGGATTGTTCCAACTGATCGAATCAGTAGAAATACTGGATCGGAGTTTTAATAAACAAGGTTTTCTTGGAAATCATTATTTCAAGTTTGTTTTCCAACAACTCTTCGAGAATCTAAACCGGCTTCAGAGGGACGGTTTGCTCCTCAGACAAGTACTTCCTCAGTCAACTCCAAGAAACGAAGAAAATTACACGTGGTAAAGTTGTTGAATGTGATACTTGAAAATTCGGCAATTCTCTATTGGGCGAATGACAAGTCTGTTGTTTAGTATTCGCGAAATAAGGGTCAACCTTTTTTCATGAACATAGGTTATTTCTTTTTCACGAATTTTCTTGAAAATTCACGAAAGTCTCCAATCATATAAAGAAAATGTACGTACAGTTTTCTGATACAGTGTATTCAGCTTGGTCACAAATACGCGTATCTGATTCGTGAACTCTATCGTGAGCATACAATACAAGTAAATAACTGTTATCGTATGTGTTCGAGTATAAATCTAAATGAAATATGAATCTAAGTTGGCAATGTTAAAGGTACAAATCCTGGATAGTTTTATTACATATATTTGCCATTCATAATGTGTATACTACAAAATAAATGCTTAATTAAGAAACGTGTTTGATCAAATATTGAAGATATAAATACCATATAAAAATGCAGTTATTTTAAGATTAAATTTATAATTTTAATTAAAAGTAAACAGGTCTTTGTAAATTTAATGTTCCACTGTGTATGAAACAATCGTACAAAAGCAAAGCACATTACCTAAGTAACGCCGATACAAAACACTGAAACTTTGCATTAGTGAAGAGATATGTTACTGACGTTTATAGTAATATATTTATCAAAAACTTCATTAACATGACGTATGGATAAATATAGAGTACATTTAGAACAATCTTACATAGGTATATACGGAATACGACATTACCAATTGCAATTATGCAATAACGATTGATTTTTACTGTTTATGCA